CACAGCGTACACTATTGAGTTATGGATGCACTTGGGAGGTTGCTAAGTACGAAAGAAGCGTAAGAGTCGCTCGAGGCGATAGCCTCGAGCGACTCTAGTTTCTTGAGTGCTTAGCAAACCTCCAAGTGCATCCATAACTCAATAGTGTACGCTGTGGTGTTTACCATTTGTTTTATAACATAACATTGATACATTGTAGCTAAAGAGTTTCTTTTATTTAAAAAATCTTACGTGACCAGAAAAAACAAGCGCGCGTGGAAAAAGAGTCTTTCCATTTGCTCACGTTAGCAGCGTACACCCATGGGCAAATGGGGGACGCTAAATTGACCAATCAGAGCGCGCCCTTTTCTTTGGTTATGTTATAAAACTAAGTGGGTATGAAGGTGGGTGTTCCAGATCAAAACACAGACAAATACAGACGGTTATCTAGTAACGTCTTAACTCAAATCAATTTTATTTGTAATACTTAGATACCAACTTCTTACGACTTTTTCCAATTCTCTTGACTTCCTTTTTGAATTAACTCGTCAACTTTCTAACGGAACTGAAGACAGTTTAAGGCTCTTCAACGAAGTCAAATGTGTGATTATTCACAACACAACTACTCCAGTTTTGACTACAGTAACAAGGATATCACCCAAACACAACGATAACAAGATAATGCAGTTAGCATAGAAAATCCTGTAGTTTTTTAAATATGTCAATGAACTCAACGTATGCATGTCCAACTTTACAGTGGTCTACTTGACTTAAATTGGAACTCCCTTCTACTCCACTTCCAACAAGCCTTCGTTCCATAATGACTTCACCATTGACAGGCGCTCCTTCTCGAGAAGTTCCAGGCTGCTCACTGTGACGTACTCGTCGCGCTCGCCGCTTATGATCTGACGCAGAGCGCCTTTGTAACGAATGGGAAATTTCAGGGTTGAGCATGACTGAAACAGAAAAAAGATTAGATGCGAAACAAAAACAGCGATGATAGTGGAGGAAGGGTTCTACTCGACACAACGTCACAAAACAGCAAATGTATTACAATCTGTCTCTAATTGTGTTGGAGGAGCCGTCGAAGAGATATTGGGTGGACAATAATAAAACAAAGGGCACCACCAAACGACCCCGAACGTTTTCCTCTGCTTGAAAACCTGTGACTGAGTGTTTCTTCACTTAGCTGCGATTATTTTCTGCACTTTCCTGTTCCTCTACTTTTTCGACACGTTTCGCAGGTTTTTAATAATGATAATAAGGCGAATCCTTTCATACAAAACTCAGTTGAAAATGAATAAGGAATGAGGATTTCTATCATAACGCTTTCGTTACTTACGGTTTTATTCCCCATCATGTGTGTAGCTCTGTCATTATTATAAGAGTGCAGGAGCAAAAGATACTCGTCCCCTCCCTCCTTGTTGTCAAAGGGGTCGTCTTCGTCCTCACTTCCCTCCTCTTCATCCTCCATGTCTTCTTCATCGTCATCGCCTTCTTCCTCAGCTTTCTTGCTCTTCGATTTTGTTCCTTTAACTTTTTCTGTTTTCCCTCCTTTATCTTTCTTAGCTCCCCTTTTCGAGCCTTTCTTGTCTTCGTTCTCACTGTCTTCCGATTCCTCCTAATTAATAGAAAATTTCACCGGGTGCCCAAACGGAGATTACTAGTCTCTCTAGTCCATTAACTAGTTGCGTCACGCAACGCTTTACGTGACGGCCGAAATTATTGATTAATCTCCATTCTCCGTCGGAATAGCCTCATAAAATTGTTTGGCTTCGGAGGAATCTCACCGCCTCCTCCCCTAATCCAACTCAGTGTTGAACATCATAAGTGTTTGTTTCATACGTAACTGAAATACATAATTCCAACGTTTTTAAAAGAACTTAAAGGAGGTATGTCAGGTAAATGTGAACATGCACAAGCGACAAAGTTTCATCTGAAAATGATAAAGAGCAAGTAAAAACTATTGTCCCAACGGTCAAAAAGGTCTTCTCTGAGGAGTAAAATAGCTGATGAAATAATGGAGCTGAAGCCAGTGTACTTTAAGAAGTCGCTTTTTTTAGCGAGCGAACCAGTCTTCCGTTCCCGTTACACATACCTCTTCACTATTCTCTTCTCCTTCCTCTTCTGCTTGGGACACATCCTCGTCACTTTCGTCGGCTCCAGCGACACCGTCCGACAAGTCTCCGATTATTACTCGAACATGCTCTGGATGCAAAATTCGTATTCTATTTTCGTCTGTAGGGGCGCGCTTCTTGCTTCCTATGGAGAAATTTGTACGAGTATAACCTTGGCTTCAATTATTCTTTAGAAGGGGACTAGCGCGAACGCAGGTCCCCACTACCAGAAATTATACGCTCGAGTTACCCACATTTGGGGTAATCGCAAGGGTCAACCCAGTCGAAGTGCAATGAAAGGGCCTCGCCTTGAGAGGACCGCCTACTTGATCACGGTGCCTCCCGCGTCAGGTAAGTATGAGAAAATTCGTGAGGTTCAAAATGTTTTGAATCAATTATACACTCGCATCAATATGGTTAATTCTTGGACGTCTACATTCGATATCACTCGTTTAGCCAATCAGAGGTCACTTGGTACGCAGATGCACTACGTTTCCCTTGTCAAGCATGTCAAATTGTTATGTTAATTCCTTTGTTGTATTGTTGCTACATTTAGCACAAAATTAATTATTCAAAAACGAAAAGTTCGTCTTGAATTGATCACGACGGTTTGCGTACCCTTGGTTTACACGTCGAAGTAAAAAGGCGACTTATTTATCGGCTTTGTAGCACCCAAATTTTGTGTAAGCAAGTCCAATCTAACTCAATATTTTCTCAGCACTGACTCTAGTGAAATCAGAATGAATTATTTCCAAAATTTCCATTCAGGGCTATTTTATTCACGTACAACATCTTCCAAGAGTCACCGAGAGGCTGTCACCGATGAAATATTCGGGAAAAGAATTGTGTCCCTTATCAGTCAAGATACAAATAACTCTAAAGCAACAAGACACGAACGCGTCAGACATCGGATGAAATAACTTCAGCAACTTTCACAGAACACCGCCTCCTTCACTCTAGCACAACAACAGAAAGGTGATGATGCTTTTAAGAAGTATGACATCCGGGTACGGCAGGAATAAATGAATGAATAAAGAAATGCAAGCGTTTAAATATGTAACATTTTTCTAATTTCGCTTCGTAACGCTGGAACGATAGGCACATCGCAGAAGCAAGAATTCATCACAAAGGCCTTGTCAGCCACACAATTTAGAACGCCTCTTGGAAATTTTTAAATAGTAACATGACACGCATTTTCTCGCGTTCAAAGAAACACGAGAGAAAAAAATCTACGAAATGACAGACAGGAAGGAAAAATATGCCGTCACGCAAAATCCTACCCCAAGAAATTCATTGGATTAAGACTAATGACGTTAAAACTACAAGGCACATCGACAACCGTCATTAAAAACAATCAAGTGAAAGTCTGATAAATTCGACTAGTGGTTAACATCGAAAGAAGAGATATGTATATATGTATTTGACGTAAAAAAAGGAAAAATCGGTTTAACATACAAATCCTTAACAGGGACACTTTAGATCTTTCATGTGCACGTTAAAAAGGCGCATGCGTCATCAAGAGACTAATTACATCGATCGCCCCACATGTACTGTCATCAGCCGTCCAATATATGTCCGACTGGACACTATCGAAGTTAACTCTGGTTTTCCTTCATCACGCATAAATCTTTCGCCTTTTACTAAAGATTTCCGTGGAGGAGAACAATAGAATGAGTCTATAGACTAATTTTTCGTCGCCCTGCCTTACGGCGGGGCTCCCATCTAATAGAGAAAAACAGTAACATCCCGCATGCGATGGGGGCCTCAACGAATATCGAGCAATCTCTACCATGAGAGGAATACGAATGTCATCTGAGAGAGAACATGTGGGGTCCATTACGGCCGGGAGGTTTCAAATCTAATGGTTGTGGTGCCGAATCATCGTTGAAGTTGGCGCTTGAAAGGTCCCTAATCCTGACTATCGGGATGCATGCACATTTCTGTGTACTAGTCGCCCAAGCAGGCAATCCGGTCCTGACGGGAAGAGAGGAAGGACACTATCGGCACATCGATTTTTAGGAAATCAAGGTATGAAACTCTTTACTCTTATTAGACTAATCAATTAAATCTTGCTGCACAATTTATCAAACATTCGATGGAAAGATTTCAATAAATATCGTGTGCGCGAGGTTTATTCTTAATTAGCAGATATCATAAGTTTTCGAGAAATAAAATTTTCCTTGCCCATTCTTTGTAGATATCAAGAGCTTAATGTCAGTTCTAACGTTCGAATGTTGTTTCTATATTACATTTGTAACAAATTAAAAACAAATTAAAGAACACTAGCTAACACTTAAAGTTGAACCCTACTTTCAGAAATATTGTTCCCTGGAGCTACTATACTAACACTCTGCCAATGTCTTCAAAATTAATATTGTGGATATAATTAAGCATACCATCATTTTGTCATGCTTATAAAAAGATATCAGAAAACTTTCTAACGAAGGTGGGAGATGCATTGTTTTGATGATAAGTGTAGTGCATTCTGCAGCTTGAAGGGGGGAACATTGGGGTTTGCGGTGTTGCAGTGAACTCAAATCTTTCAGAGTACGATGTTTGTAATTTTAAACCAACAGTTTTCGGTGAATTAAACCAATTCTGGTATTGCAGTTTATTCTTTAACCCTTTAAAAACTAGATTTTGATGACCCATAGTTAATTATCGAACAAAACTAGCAATATATCCGAGATAATCTCAAATAAAAACTAGCTGATTAACCCCAGGCCAAGTTCGTTTATATTTTACTTGACCTCTGGAACTTTACCAAACACACTACCAGCCACATAAAGACCAGGGCATGGTAAAGATGAGTGAAACCAGACCAGGTAAATCCTGAGACTTTTTTATAGCACTGTGCCAGTGTACTGAAAACATTTACGGCAAAACCCTACTCCTATAATTGACTTTGACTTTATAACCGATTCAGGCCATGTAATTTGAAAAATGGTAATCAATTCAACAACTGTACTAAAAATTCAAAAAATAATTCCAATTTAACCCTTTCACTCCCAGATCTCATTAGTGATTCCCTTTGCTGTCTGCCAAAGAATTCTTATGATGTTAGTTTGGAGAATTTGGCAATGGATCAACTACTAATCCAATAACTGATGTTTTCCTTCATTCTCATTGCTTGACTGCTTGAATTTACAATGACATTATGAGGAGAATTCCCTTGTTGGTCAATCATGGAAGTTCAAGGGTTTATAAGAACAAATTAAAGTACTTTTCTCCTAGAGCAGTCATACAGCAAGGTTGACTGTGTTTGCAGCCTGTTTGGTACATTTACATGTTAATTTAAATGTTGTATTCTTGCCTTTTTTGATGTCTTTTGCATAGGGAGGAAGGCGGTTATTAAAGAACTCGTACATCATGTTGTCAACAGCTTTGTCAGGACTCATATGCTGCTCCAACCCAAGCACAAGGTTAATTAAGGTTTTGTTAAATGCAGTTCTTGGATCTGCAGTTGCTTTTTCATGCGATTCTTCTTTATCACTTTTTAAGTTGTCATTTTGCTCAGGTGGATCTTGATCAGAGTCAGTTTCATGCTATTGGTGAACATAATGAAAACAATTAACCTAATGACCTCTTAAAGTGATAAAATCTAAATTCTCCTTACAATATCACAGAGAATCACCCAGTCACCCAAAGAGAATAAGAGAAACCAATCACCAGCTAAAAAAGCTGTTGGTTTTAACAAATTCTCCTTGTCAGCACCTTGTCAGTACGGAGAATCTACATTTCTGATGTTTGGGTGAAAAGTGCTAACATGATTTCATAATATGTCAGAATTTACACATTTGAGCTACCTTCTTTCTGATTAAATGATCAAAACATTTTTAAGGTGGCCATCTAGTCTGTTCAACTGGATGGCTATTTCAAAAATTTTTGAAACCCCATTACTCATTAAAGAAAAGTTTAAAAGACCATAAGTTCTGTGATCTGATTAAGAAATATGACAATATCTAATCATTGCATTTAAGGTTGAATTTTATAAATGCTGACTTCAGAAGTTTGTCAACAAAATATCTTTTTTACATTTTAAGGGTTATAAAACAAAATTCAACCCCTCTACAGCCCAGGTTAAATCCCATGTTCCTCTACTATGTTTTCATTTTGGTTTCTTTAATGCAACCTTTAAACATAAATATTTTAGACTATGACGCTTACCAATCCATTGCCCATAAATGAAGGAAAATTAACTGGAAGACCTCTCCGATACTCCACATCACTTTCCATAGCTTTTTCTACAGCTTTAGTTAAGACACTTGTCAACATATTACCCCAAGAACTAATGCATGAATAATCAAAACACTGAGTTAATTGGTTCCCAAGTTCCTACAAGGTGAACTATGAAACAATTTTTTATATTTGTCTATGAATGTCACTATGAACTCAGAGCAGGAATAAGAATATCTAAAATAAAGCTACAGTTAGAAGGGGAAAAAAAAGTTCCATGAAAACCAGCATTTATAAATTTTCCATTTCACCAAATGACAAGCTGATATGTAACTTGTAAACACACCTGCGAGTACTGTGACTACACTGAATATCTAGGACATTTCCTTATCAGCAAGACAAAAGAAGCAAAATAATCTAAAGATGTCATTACTCTATCTGCTTAGTACCTTTCTTGGAACGTGGTCAACGCCAAATAAGTTGTGTGATTTTTGTCTTCAACTGGCACTGGAAAGAAAATAGATCCTCTGGGGAAGTACAAGAGATCTCCAGGCTATAGAGAGGGAAAAAATGCCTTTCATAAAAACTTGATCAGTTTACCCAGAGAGAATTTAGAGTCATAGTTTAAAGCAATCTAAGAGTTTTCGGGGATTGCTTTTCATTTTACTGCAAAAGACTTAAGGGATCCAACAGCTAGGGCACCAGTTTTGTATTTGCACAATCACTAGACTTGCATGGACAAAAATCTTTGGCAAGCATTTATGAAAAGAATTCTGATGTCCAGCAATTTTAGCATAATACCTCTAAATCGAATTCTTCAGTTGGTTCACCAATATCTTTCAGTTCCAAATCAGGACTAGCATCTTGAGAGAGCTCCTGCAAAGGCTTGAATAGTTTCCATTTGGTTTTACCCTCTGTTTGGAGGATAAAGGTCTGCAAAAGGAAATACAATGTAACTAGCTAGGACCTATTCCCTAAATTTGGAATTTTGAGTTTTCCTTGAAGGAGTAGAAATGCCAGAACACATCAAACATTTAGAGAAAAAAAAAACTTGGAAGGCAAACTGGAGTTCACACCTAAATCCTGCGAGCTTCCCTGTCCCCCACCCCCTAAATCAACTAAGTAAGGGTGATGAAATTAAGATAAAAAAGAGGTTTACAATACACCGAATGCAAATATGGCGTACAATTTGAATTGCCATTGTTCTGGACTGACTAGCCTCTCACATATGTAATAATTCTTTTGTTTCCAAGTCAGTCCAGAACAATAGCAATTCAAATTGGACGCCATATTTGCATTCAGTGTATAAGGACATTCTATTCTTGGACAGCAACCCCCTAAGAATGATGGGTATTTGGTGGAATGGGGTTGAATCTTTTTCTCAGGGAAGCCAACAAAATTTAACCCCTAGGACACCTTGCTCAGTGATGCTTACAGTAAACAAAAAAAAAAAAAACACCCTCAACTTCAAATTTCTCTATCGACACTGACAAAAGAGGGAGTTTGGATTCTCGCCATCACTAGGGGGGGGGGGGAAAGTGCTGATAAAAAAAAATGGAACCTCCCTTGTACTGACCTCAAGATCATCATGCTGCGGAGCCAGCCCTTGCGATCCTGGTTGGAACACGAATGCATCAACAAAAACGAGACAATTGAGATACGACTCGAGTGACTCTACCAATTTCCAAATCTCGTCCTAGGGAAGAAATGCAAAGAAAACCGTGGGAAATCAAGCCTGACTTGTGGGAAACACTTCTTCAGTTCCACGAGTGGTTGGGATCCTATAGATGCGAATAATTTCCCGTGGAAAAACTAACGAAGGAAAATAAATTTGCTTTTCACAGTCGTTGCCGTAAATAAATGACTCAAACTTTGCGTCAAGAACAACTTGCGCTTGTAGCTTAGACCACATTAAACTTAATGACATTCGCAATAAAGTCTCTCCAAAGTTTATCTATGGAAAAATACAACATTTCGAACAACAAGTAAAAAGATGTTTAAAGGAACACAAACCTTAAATCTATCCGGTTGATGAAACTGCACAGCAACTCCATTCGCTTTGATGTGTTTCGAATTGACGCGAGAACCTTCCTCGTTCAGCAGCTCCGTCTTCCCTTCGACGTAGCGACTCAAGTTTAAATCTTCAATGAACTGTATTTCCTCCTTTTTCAAAACGGCTTCCAAATCTTTCCTAGAGAATAGCGGTCCATAGAAGTCTGTATTCTCTCGCTTAACGAAATAAGGTTTCTTTTCCCAGGTTTCGGCGAAAAAAGTCTCCAGGTTCGCTACTGCAAGAAGCGTTTCTGCAACTTTCTTTGGCGATGAAAAGTCAAGTACCCTTATTACCGTTGTAGAAGTTTCGGGGTCGTTTTCACCTTCCACTTTTGTCTTTTTTCCATCAGGAGAAGTCGCTGAGGCACTGGCAGCTCGACCCTTTCGCTTCATATCGTTAGAAGTTAACAGAAACGACGTAAGAAATCCTAACCTATGCCACACAAAACGGCGACGACGTTGTTAACGTTTCGCGACTTCTACTCACGTGGAATCATGTCGCGAACGCGCGCCAATTTAGCCTATTTTGATTGGTCAATTTCTTAGCGCAAATTTAGAGCGGTTCCCAACAACGTTCCCTGCAGGAATTGGGGGCTTTCTGGGAGCTTTCTGGACGACTTCATTGGAGATTCCAATGCCAGATCAGGACATTTCAAGTAATAAATCGAAAAAACGAGTGCGAGTGTTTCATCAGGGGTTCCAAACACCGAGAAACGGATGAAAGCACGAGGCCGCAGGGCAAGTGCTCTTATTGTTTCGAGGTGTTTGTAACCCCTGATGAAACATGAAGCACGAGTTTTTGGTATAGCTTCTGAAACGAGTTGCCGATTATTGTTTGTAAACAATAGCTAGAGAATATGAAAAAAATGGTTTCGTTGGAATGTTCCATTTAGGAGTTGGCCAACTTTTACAGTTTATCGATTCAGTTTACTGTGCGAGATGGATGAGTCAAGTTCAAGGTTTCGGATTCCCAAAACTTCTTACGAGGAAAACGCGTCTATTATCAATTCTGTTCCGAAATGTACGGTTTACAAGAACAAATGGGGGATACAGATTTTTCGAGAATGGCAAGTTGTGCTCCATTGAGAATGGCAAGTTGTGCTCCATTGAGCCAGGCGGAGTGTTCAAAGCTGAAGACATTGGTTTGGATGTTAAAGAGTTGACTGAAAGCATTGAAAACATGAATGGCAAAAGTCTAAACTACTGGCTATGCAATATCCAAATGTCCACTGATTTTCCGAGAATCAGTGGACATTTGGATATTATATCCAAATCTCTAAAGATTTTCATCCACTTTCTCATAGGGTATCCAAACACATGCACATGATGTGGTTTACATGCAGTGATTCGTAGTTGACTTTATGAATTATTAATGAGTTTGAGAAGATTAGTTTCTTGACGGATAACCTCGGTCCTTTATTAGAAACGAGTAAGACAAGGTCTACGATTTTGTCAAATTTCATCCAGTGAGCTACCAACATAACACTTGTCATCAAACCAGTAAACCAGTACCATGACTGACAAAAACAAAACAAAACAGAGAACACTTGAACCAAGATACCATATATAAAGAAATTAGTCCCAGGTTAACGAGTATCTGCTCACAATCACGGAGTCTTTTTATCAAGACTTGTTGAGCGACAAACATTTTGGGTTGAGACTGGGGATGTCCACTCATCTTAGTTACGTGACCGTAGAGAGGTTCTTCCAGAACCACTTNGTGCTCCATTGAGCCAGGCGGAGTGTTCAAAGCTGAAGACATTGGTTTGGATGTTAAAGAGTTGACTGAAAGCATTGAAAACATGAATGGCAAAAGTCTAAACTACTGGCTATGCAATATCCAAATCTCTAAAGATTTTCATCCACTTTCTCATAGGGTATCCAAACACATGCACATGATGTGGTTTACATGCAGTGATTCGTAGTTGACTTTATGAATTATTAATGAGTTTGAGAAGATTAGTTTCTTGACGGATAACCTCGGTCCTTTATTAGAAACGAGTAAGACAAGGTCTACGATTTTGTCAAATTTCATCCAGTGAGCTACCAACATAACACTTGTCATCAAACCAGTAAACCAGTACCATGACTGACAAAAACAAAACAAAACAGAGAACACTTGAACCAAGATACCATATATAAAGAAATTAGTCCCAGGTTAACGAGTATCTGCTCACAATCACGGAGTCTTTTTATCAAGACTTGTTGAGCGACAAACATTTTGGGTTGAGACTGGGGATGTCCACTCATCTTAGTTACGTGACCGTAGAGAGGTTCTTCCAGAACCACTTCTAAATCCACTTTTCTTTAAAGTTTTTATAAATAGTGTACCCCACAGATGAGACAGACGAACAGACATACTGAAAAAAAAAACTTATTCAAGACCATGGAAAATCCATCTAATATCCGGCCAACACTAGTACACTCCTTGTACCCTCTGCACAGTGAAACAGATTCAACCTCAGGCTAACCTCTGGAAAGGAAACAGACCCTTTGGAGTTGTCGATTACATGTTAAGCAAGAGGAGAGAACCAAATATGCAAGCAATTTTGATAAATGATAGAAACAAGCATATATGTATTTTTATTTTAGAAGTAAAGTATTACAAAACGAATTTGATTTGTTTTATGACCCCAAATGTAGTACCTGTCAATTTGAATGTTGCCGCTCTTATGGGGATCAATCTGTATCTTATCTTTTGGATTCTTCTTATAAACCCTTGGGCTCTTGAAATCCATATTTTAGCGATTGAAAACAATTCATCTGAAACTGTTTTTTTTTTTTTTTTTTTTACTGCAATTAAAGTTGAATAAACCCACTATGTCTTCGACGCTTTTTCTAGCCCAAGTCAAACGAAACCAACATCAGACCACTGAATCAAATCTTTGTAATTCTTCGTTTATGGATGTCGTTCAACACGAAAGAGGAAACTTATTATGAAGAAAAGTGGTCTCTTATGGGCTGGGGATAAACGTGTAAACACAACTGATGCAGGCGCACGTGTCCGGCCTCGCCTTAACAGTGGCGGATCCAGGGGGAGGGTCCGGGGGGTCCGTACCCCCCCTTATCAGACCTGACGCTTACAACTTTGAGACTGAAATTCTTACATCAACAGGATCGTATGTAACACTTTTTAACTGGCTGTTTTTTTAAATGAATCCAAGTAAACGGTAAGTGGCCAAGGAATTAATTATAACGTGCAACCGCTACTGGTGGGAGGGGATGTGGGGGGTGTGAGAAACAAGTAATTTCTGAACCAAAGTTTGGACCCCCAATCAAAAATTGCTGGATCCGCCCCTGCTTAACATAACCTGCCAAATGTAACCGGGCCTGCACGTTTTTCAAACTGTTTTGACACCGAAGTTAGAACGTTTCTAGAAGCCATTCGATCCTTATCTCATTCTCTTTTCGCCATAGTTAGTAGTAACTATGCTTTTAGCGTAATCCCCATACTCTCTTGCGTCAAGGCGCTTTTACGAGATAAACGAAGGAAGCGGAATGCCTTGAAACAACGATCTTATCTTCTTCCTTGGACATTTCAGATGTCACGTTTAAGGCAGAACAGAACGAACACGGCCGTATTAATTGAAAATTGCGCGCTTTTTACTTAACAGCCACCTTTGAGCCGTTATTCTTTGTTTACATTCAAGTCACTTCTCAGATCCAAAATGTCTACTTTCCCCTTGCAGGCCTTCTGTTGTAAGAGTGAGTTCTGACTTGAAACACCTGCTACTACAACAATTAGCAAAACCCAAGGCGCCGCACAGTTTAAATCGACTTTATTAGCAAAAGTTACTTTTATTTCATTGCGCATGGATGGCATAGAAGTCGACTAGTCTGGGGTCACTTATGACAATTTGAATTAGCCGAAGGTGAATCAAACAAACGTTAACACTTGCGCGGGTAAATAGGTTCCACAATTCTTGCTTCTCCTCAATCGCATTTCCTAAGCCTGAACATGTGACATTAAAGAAAAAAATAACCAACCAATATTGGCAATTGATCGATAATTCCACAATGTGAATTAAAACGTGGTTGGTCTGTTCAATTAGTGAATTGCGTACACTGATTGAACCTGCACTTCGGATATCGGGTGTCATTTCATTTACTCTTGTCAGTCGCGCAGGCCGCCGTAAGTAAAAGATAAAAAGAATAATAATTGGATGCCATAGATGAAAGCGGTTCCGAAATGAAAGAGTAAACACAGAAATACGAAGGGAAACATTCCTTTCAACAGCTGAAAAAAGGCACGTTGACAGTCAATCGTGATCGTGCCGAAATAAATCAACCAAAGTTAACATGAATTTATCATTAACTGCGAATTATAATTTTTTATCGATGTGCCCTGCCTCAGGCATTTCGGCTCCGTCATTGATGGAAATATCTTCAATTAACATATCCAATGAGTTAGGTTTGCCAAAAATCGCTAAGAAACGCCAGAATGCGCCGCAAGGTCTCCATTCGAACTCAAAACAAACAGTGAATAATTAGCAAAACCAGATAACTTTTGTACGTAGACGCTACCAGTGTCAACTAAAATTTTCAAGGCAGGAAAGTTAAAGTAACACGACACATTTATGGTGGGAATCACCTTTGCCCTTACGATCGACAACAGAAAAATCGCGAAGGAAATATCAATACTCCGTTCAAACAGGCACTCAACCATAAGGAGACCCATTGATGATTCTCAAAGCCTTTTAGAATTATCATTGTTTACAACTTCAGTTTCGATTGTTATATACATATACATATATATAGAAATCAACGCACGAAATGAAATGAACTTTAAAAGTTTACGGGGGCAACTTATGCGATACTCGCGTGAAAGGTACCAACAGCAATCGATTTTTCTTGTCGTCAACAATTCACGACAATCAGAGAATTGATAAACTTTGCAAAGTGACTTTAAGATCTCTAGCGACGATCAAAATAAAGAGATCATATGAAACTAAACCTTCTGCAAAGAGTACGCCTCAAAAGCAAGCTTGAGATATGTAAGAACGCTTTCGATAACAGTGTTGTATTTGGTGCGTGTACAAAATGGATTTTCGCTTGCTGCATTCATATCACAAATTAGGTGCTAATTGTTAGCAACCAGCTGAGTGTGTTTTCAGGCTAAGAAAAGCCTGACCCCCTCATACTGAATTCGTCTTCGCCATAAAACCGAAAAGAAGACAAATAAACGCGAACTTGACGTGAAATGGGAAGGAAAAAGTATACGTCTGTCGCATTCGTTGAGTTAAAATGTCTCGTGGGTGCTCCAGGAGCGAAATTCAAACTGTTGTTTCGTTAGAGTGACCGCCATTCCTCTGCGTCTGTGGTCGTGGGGGCCTTCTCCCGGTTATCACATAGTAAACCTTTTTCCACGATTGCAGAGTTTTCGGTGACCAGATCCAAATTCCCGAAATTGTTCCAACGAACAGAGACATGAAAAGTTTCAGCATGAAGATGCTCAGATTTGGTTCGGCGATTCTATTATCCCGTTTACCATAAAACCAATATTCTTTATTTGCATACTCATAGAAGTAACAGGCAATAACTGCGGTGGCCGGCACTGTTGAAAATACCGCAAATATTCCCAGACGAACGATCAGTCCTTCCAGTTTATTCGTCTCGCTTTTTGTGTTTCCATCACGTTGCACGGTGGCGCGGATTCGAAAGAGGCCGACGAATCCGGCGATTAGAAACAGTGTTCCGATAATAAGATAAGTAAACTGTGGCCCCAAAACAAACGCGGCAAGCGCGATCAAATCTTGATTCCCAACAAAGCATAGTCCGGTCAACTCATCGCTGTCTATTTTGCCAGTTATGAAGATAAATACTGTTTTGATACAAGGCAAAGCCCAGGCGATACCATGAAAGAGGTTTGAGTATGAACCGATGGCTTCGTAGCCCCATTTCATTCCGGCAGCGAGAAACCACGTTAGCGCCAAAATAACCCACCAAATTGTCGCGGCCATGCTAAAGAAATACTGTAAAAGAAACACAATGGCACATCCGGTATTTCGACGACCGTCTTGAATGAGAAATTTAGGCGTGTTGTACTCACAAGAGATCGCCTCTCGACCAGCTGCAAGACGAACGATGAACGAAATCGAGTAAAGAAGGTAACAAAGAGCAAGCCATACTATCGATCGTTCCGGATACTTGAATCTCGCCGCATCCACAAAGAACGTGCACAGTACGGAAAGGGTCGACACTAGACACAAAATAGACCAAGCCGCCATCCACTTGTCCATCTTTTCTTTGTCTGATGTTTTAAAAATACCTTCTTGATTACACAACACTGCACATGATCTTGTGCCCGGTATATAATAGTAATTGACGCTATTTTTAAATTTCCTGCACTCTTCCGAACCAGCATAGGTCGCTCCTGCGGTTGTCACTGTATGCGTTTCGTTCACTTTTACGCCCGTGCTTTGGATGAGAGGTCTCGGGCTGGCGTCTTCGGTAAAATTCGGTCCAGTCATACACATCTCATGACCGTCGTTCTTCTCCAAGAACTTGGTGCAGTTGAGTTTTGCAGGCCACGGAATACCGAACTCTTCCAACACATGTAAACATTGCTTGCGAACGTATTCGCACAATGGCCTGCAGGATGTGATAAGAACGTCCACCATTTCGGTACACATCGGAAAATACGCTGAGCACAAAAAGAACTGCAACTGACTCGCACAATTGAATTCAATCAAAGGAAGAAACTGTTTGAATTCTAATTCGGCTTCTCTCTGAGTCTCATGGCCGAGCATGTTTGGTATTCGTGTCGCATTGTAACCCATGTTACTACAAAGTGGGGCATTTACTTTCTCACACTGCCATCCTTTCTTCCTAAAACCCTGACCGTGCACAGTGGTGACGGAACTTGCCAAGATCACAGCAACAAGTAAAGAAGACTTGAGCAGATCCATACAACAGCGCAACAGCTGAAATCGGCACTCGTAGCTTTCTGCAAGCACGGTATAATCGCGCACTCTCCCGAGGTTTCCAGATATTCGGACGCTGATCTGCGCTTAGAGACTTAAACTCTAAATTGATTTGCGTTGTAGGTACATAAATTCGGTTTGCCAGGACGGAATTCACAAATGCTAAATGTAAGCAATCGATCATCTGCATGAGAATTGCTAGCCGTGTTGTTCTTTGTGCTTCCCATGGGCGGTATACGCTGCAACCAATCAGCGAGCGTTCCGTTGATTAAACGCCACGCCTGTCAAAACCATCTGTCAATTAATTTTAATTTTGTTCTAAATTACGATTGGTTGATCAAATCAGCAAAGCAAACCCAGTAAAATGCATGGTGCTTGCTTTCAATTTGCAAACTCTATTTCTATTTACACAGCATTTGTTTTCAACACATGAAAGGTTTTCTTTAGCCTTTGTTCTCTCAGGAAGAAAATAATTGCGTCACACTTCTACTGTGTGCCCTTAAGACTAACTTAAAGCGACTCCAAACACTTCACGAATAAACAGGCAAACCGCAAAGCCCTCTGCATAAAGTGTAATCGGTGGTGGGGTTCTAGTAGTTTACAAATGAGACATCTTTTTCAGATTTCCTCTCATCTTCAAGTTGATAACAAAGAGAAACTCATATTCTTTTGTTAAAAACTGATTTGAAGAAGTCAAACTTAATTAACGGCACTATGAGCAGTAACTAGACTCGGGAAAGGACAGGGGAAAAATTCCGTCTTTCCGAAAAAATCTTGACAACTGTTTCAAATCTATCATCGAAATTCTAAGTCTAGGTATTTATTTCTTAACTTTTTTACATATGTAACTTTCTAGGGAGGTGATCACATTAAAATTTTTCCTCTTTGTCCATCCTTCCACTTGCGATCACGTTCTTCAAGAAATTGCGATTTTGCCAAATAAAAAAAACGAGCTCAAATTTTTATTGGAAAACCTTGTTCGAGAAAATGATTACATCGAAGTGCATTGCGAATTTGTATTGAACTCACGAAAGCAGCCTATTTGTTTCTTTAATTTTCCATCAGATATAAAAACTTTCTTTTAGTCGTCAATTCACCAGATCGATGGTTTGGAACATAAATCAGAGCTATGAAATCAGAGCTATGAAATGCAGTGAAATATTCACGACGAAAGTACAATCAGCTTCACTCCAAAACGAAAAATCTGCTGACTAATCGTTTAATAGGGAAAGCCAAAATTTGATTGATAGCTCGCTAAATCGAGTAATACGTAAGCCACAATTATGAGTCGATTATCGGGTGTGAACAGCGGGAAGCCTTCCTTCAATAAGGGAAAAATCCGTACCGGTTTAGGGTTGCGGTTTGTTGACTTAAAGGCTATTGTGGTCTTCGAGATGTACCAATTTGCTTTTTGAACCCCGGGTTCAACTTTTAAAGACTCTCTTTGAGAAGATCTATGCTGGTTTATCAATAACGCGAGCCTAAAAGGATTTTAACCACAAAAAAAAAAATATCGCTTCCCTTCTTAATAATCGGTCGAATTTGTCACCGGTTCATACTCAGAAGTGTTCTGTCAAAAAAAAGTCAATGAATATTGCCTTAGGTCACCGATCCTTGCTGTGAAATAGGGTAGACATAGAATTGCCGAAATCTAATTAAGAGGATATCAATCTTCGTTCTAATTATAACTTCTTCGAACTTCGCGGCATCATGAAAGACACATTTCCCCTTTCCTTACAAAACACTCGTCATCATGCTTTTTCCTGTTTCTTTTTAATTAACGGAGCGCTGAACAGAGCAGCGCAAATTCACTTCACACGAAGACTGAAGGAAATTCCACCCATTTCGAGCTGGTATGTTTCTAATCTGGAAGACAAAGAACCTCTAGCCACGGTTACTCCTCTGACCCACTCATGAAATTACAGAACAAACCGTGGAAACAGAATCGCCCAATCATAACAAACCAAAAACACATGGCAAGGGTACAAAACTATTAACTTCTATAAGTTGGCAGCCTTTCTGGTTTAAAGCTTCCTTTTTTCCTTATGGGAATGTGTTAATGAAACGTCAATAATGATACTGTCTGACTTAATATAGCGACAGAGCGAAGCCTGGCTATAAATTAAAATGATGTTTGCTCTTTAAGCACACGTGGGTTTCACGATCGAGTTTTCCTACTAATTTCTCATGCTTTAGTATTCAGCCGTAAATTTAATTATCAAGTTGCAAGGGTAAAAAAATAGCTGAAGGTGGCGAGGAAGCCGTTTGGAAACCACACGACTCACTCCCAGAAGTGATTAGCGTATGACTTCTCCCTGTAATATCCATACATAATCAAGTAAACAGATAATGAGAATACTCAAACTTATCATCAGGTAGAAGTTATTATCTTGATCTTAATCCAGATTGCATAGCAGCTAGAGGGGAGAATTAACAATCAGATCTTGGATGTTAAAAGGGTTATGTTAAATAGTGATGAATCACTGGCAGAGTAGAAATAAAGTAGAAATTACACGTTATTTTAACTGACTTATTTATATAAAGCATAACTTGTCCACAAAGTAATAATGAAAACCGAAGACAGAGAGAAAGAGAAATAAATGTACGTCGATTTAAAACAATAGCCTCTATTTGTCGCGAAAAACGATAATGCCCGCGAACAAATATCCGTGCACATTTTCGCGTCAAATGGAGGCTATTGTGTTTATCATCCTTCAAATATTTTGGAGCGCCCGTGAAAAAAAGGCCAAGAACAGCTCACTGATTGCTGCGTGGGATAGTTTCTTTAGAGTTTTCTCCGGCACAAACTTTATGCCGAACAAACAAATATTCCCTTCATCTGTAATAACCACAAAACGCTTTCTCATTTTGAATCAAAGTTTGAGTGAAGACTCATCGTAGTGGACGCGAGGTTCGAAAATTAGGGCATATTACTTAGGTGATAAACTCCAGTTTTAGCTGGGGAAATATTTGGTCCCTTGATACACTCAGACCAATCGTGCGCGAGCAAAATTATTTGATGGATCGTAAATGAATTATATAAGATATGCTTGGTTTAATAATATGAGGAATGCCTTACAATTTATAACTTTGTGAAACAAAATTATTTCACATCTTTCAAATCCGACTCGTGGCAAACTTCAGCTTTTCCCCATGTTCCTATCCATTCTGATAGCTCTTATCCTGATTTCCAATAATTTGTATCCTGTTGTGGGTTCCTGATAAAAAAAAAATAAAATAAAAAAAACCCAGCTGTTCATTTTTCAGCAAAGCGACGTTCCAAACATAATTGGACAGATCATTTAGTGAAGAAACTTGAAAACTTTTCTCTCAAATTTTTCTTCGAGTCTAATTATTGTAAACGTAGCCCCTGCCCGAAACAGGCTTTCGACTTTGTCCCCTTTACAGAGTAGCTGCCCTCAAGAGATTCGTGAAGGGTTCAATTTCGTGAGTGGGCTGTCGGTGTCTTCCTTATCAAGTACTTCCTCTCTCACTGTGAGAGCCATGTTCTTCAGCGCATTATTGGTCATTATATCACTATTATTTTATTCGAGGAGCTGTTATGACAGAAAAAGAAACCGGAAGTTTCAGTGAAGTTTCCGGTTTTGGTAACCCTGTAATCATTTCAAATGGCCCACTTCTCGCCGCTTGAATTGACTGTTACGGATTTTCGTACCAGGGTAATAAAGAAGATTTTTTCATAAGGTCCCTGCTAAGAAAGTCTGAGCTACGTTGAGGTAAACAATAAAATGCAGTATTTACCAATTAAGACTTCCTCGTTCGTGGCTGTTTGCTTGTTTTTGCACTTAAAGTTTTCACAGCCCCCCTGTGATATTTCTTCTGAATTTAATGACTGCTTGTATGACTTTGGCTTTAGCCTCACTTTAGTCAATCGAATTATAACACCGCAGTACGATCCTGTATGATCAGAGAAGTGGACCGCAGGTCAATCAAACATCAACTTTAAAATCTACAAGATTATCACTTACGCCGATGATACAATAATTTTTACATCCTCGAGTGATATCGATGTGATGCAAAGCAACCTCTCCCAGGACTTAGATAGTCTCTCTTACTGGTTTGGAGATAATGAACTTATCTTTAATCCAAAGAAGGGAAAATCCGTCGTGATGCTGATTGGTACTGCTAAACGGTTGAATCTGTTTCAAGGCTGTTAAGTCAAGCTCTTGGTCAATCGTTCTCCCCTCGACACCACTACATGTTATAAGTACCTTGCCATGCATCTGGCCTCGACACAAATTTGAAACGCATTTTCAACAAATACTCAAGAAGGCAGCAAGAAGAGTGAACCTCTTGCGCCGCATCCGTTCCAGCATTGATACCCTCTGCGCCCAACGAATTTATCAATCAATGATCATTCAAATATTTACGTATTGCCGGTATAATCGTTTTGGATGCTCAGAGTCCCACAAACGCATGATCCGCTCCATTGAGACTAGTCTCCTTCGCAGCCGTTGTTTGGGCTCGTCACGCAACGCTCCCTCCCCCACCAAAAGGGAGAGGGAGCGTTGCGTGACGAGCCCAAACAACGGCTGCGAAGGAGACTACATTGAGACCAGATGCCTCGAAATTATTGCGCCTAAATGCAGTCCACAGAACTGCGATATACGATTTTTTAACAATTGACAACTTTCTGCAGAAGAGAGTGTGTTCACGTGTTGCTTTGTATTTGACTGCCTTAATGAAAGGCATGCATAGCAAGGGGGGAAGGGGTTCCAATCACACATCACGGTTAATTTTTTCATTAAATCACGCATTACAGAGAAACTTTTTTAACCAATCACGCGTCACGTAAAAAGGATTCAGTACGCATGCATTATTTAAAATTATGTTAAATCCAACGTTTTTAATTTTGGAATGACTTGCCCTTCACTTGTTATATTACTTTTTGTTAGACAATTAGAGAAGACTTACTCGTTGAAACTAGACGATCTGAGAGCGTTTACTCATGGTTCATATCGCAATATCCCGTGGGTTAGGGGAGAGGACGGCTGACATTCAAACTTCCTTCTAGGTCAAAGAGCGTTCACTTATCACGGAAATCTAATGAGAAAACCGTGTAAATCACGTTTCACCCGCTTGTAAAATAGCAAATCACGGATAAGGTTGTGATGTCCTGTCCGTCATCACGCGGATAATTTGGGCTCAATCACGCTCCAAATTTTGGAGCCATCACGCGCCACGCAAAAACCCTTTGCAACCCTCTTAATTTAGGATTACTTCCAATGATTACACCATAACGCGTTGAACACTAGAAACAATGTGAAAACAACAGAGCTAACAAGGGTCAAATCGGATTTTGCGCGCCGTAGTTTTTATTTTTTGGGGGTGTTTCAATATTTAACTCATTGCCTATATGTTAAAGAAATACAACTCTGGAGCTTTATTCGGGAAAGCCTTAGACGATTATTACATGCGATTTCTTTTGTAGTTTTTAACTTATTAGAGTCTTTTTTATTATATACGTTCAATCGTCTGAATATTGAAATACTTTCTTAGTATCTAATTTCTTAATATCAGCAGGACCCCGTTGGAAGGGTTATCCTAGATGAATATTTCGGTCATTATTAAAATATTTCGATTATTATTGAAATATTTTGATAATTAGTGCAGAAGAAATTGGGGAATAGTTGTCTCTCTCTAACCCAGTCCTCTTGCCAGCAGTTCGGTGCAATATGGCGGTTGCTCAAATGAATTAATGATATATCGCGCAAATGTCACGAGAACGAATGATCGGACGGTGACAGTATGGTTGTTTTCTCAAAAATACTACATCCTTTTACCACTACGCTTTCGTGCCACGAGTTAGCGCATACCTGGACTCCATCATGCTCTTCTGCGGCTGCAGGAATCTTTCGTTCGTGTTTTGTGGAATCCTTAAAAATATATGGTCTCCTTTACATGGTGAGATAGCAATCCAATATACTTATGTGCACATTTGATTGTCTTAAATATCATGCATTAATGTAGCTTATATATCAGGTAGTCCATATCGATAATTTTGAAAAGGAAGTTTTTGTATAAATAGTATACTACTCCAAAAATCTTTGGTGGAAACCATAAATCATGTGGTGAGGATCTAGGATATGCGGAGTATTTCACACTGTTACGTAATTGTTGAATCTGAAAGCATGTCTCCGACGTTTCACAGTGATGGGATGCAAAGCTGTTTGAAACTCTTCACGAAACCTAGAGTGGCGTGTCATGTCTCCCTAGTGGATCTAAAGGATCTTTGCTCAGTGGTAGTCTCCTTCATAACCATTCTTCTGGTTCACCATACAAATAACTCCTTCCCCCCCTCTCCTTGAAAGTGAGCATGTTAAATGTCGTGCAGGACATGAAACTCTTGAAATTGTACCCATTAACGGGATTTTATTTTCGCGGCCCACGGGAATGGAATGGTCTACCTGACAACATTAGGAATACTAAAGATATTGATATTTTTAAGCAGAAACTTTTTAACAATATGTTCTATAGGTAGTAAATTTGGATATACTTTGAATGATCTTAAATACATTTGATTTTAATTAAATTACAGTAAATAAGTTAGTTAACATTGTGACTGAAAAGCCCTGTTGAAGGGAGTCTCAATAGAGTATGTATGTATGTATGTATGTATGTATGTATGCATGCATGCATGCATGCATGCATGTTCACTGTAGGTACTCTCGACTGAGATATCAGTCACACTGAGTGTCTACCGACATTGGTTGAGTATCAACTGATGTACTGGTTGAGAGTACCTACAGTGAACATGACAATGACAATGACAATAACTTTATTTATACTTGAATTTAAGATAGAAAATACATGCTAATATCTCCAAGTTAAATTATCTAAATTTAAAATATTTAAAATTAATCTAATTACTAACTATCTAAATACTATCTATATATAAAATACAAAATACAATTCTAAAGCAAAGGATATTAAAATATTTCTAAACAAGATAAAAACTATGTAAAATTTATTCTAGAGGTCGAATTTCAATTTAGAAATTTCGGACTTAAATTGAATTAATTCGTGTAGCAGTCTTATGTTATTGGAAAGAGAGTTCCATAGCTTACTACCCTGATAGGCCAATGAGTGGAGGCCATAGCTAGTGTTATTAACCCTGGGTACCATAAGAATATTATCCCCCCTCAGATTAATCTTGCAGTTGCATGAAGTAAATAACCCAGAAATATATTTTGGAACCAACCCATGCAAAGATTTAAATACCAATGTTAAAATACAATGAATTCTTCTATTATATAAACTAGGATGCTTAATACGCAATAATAATTCCTCATACGAGCTTTTATCATCATTGCAAATAAAGAGCAACATGACTTAATTCTTGATAAGAATGTGATATATTTATCATCTTTGTGTATTTCCAACTTGATTTGAAGATTGGTGGTATTTTGAGGAAAGCCGGTATAAAGTACTTTAAATACAAGTATCTACTGGATGTAATCAGGTCATCCTGTTTTCTGGCTGTCAATGGTGGAGGACTGGTGGTTTATGTCTGCTTGGTTAGGTCTGTTTACTTTCATAATTTTGTTTTAATAATGTACAAATGCTGTAGACTCAATGTTACAAGTTCAGTGATATAAGAAGAGATATGATGAATATATGAAGTTCATATATTTTGAATGGCAGTTATAGAGATACATATGATGCACGATCCTCGCAGTAGAGAGCGCTATTTATGCAATAGTGAAAATCAGACCTGAAAAAAAATCAGGCCTGTACGGGATTCGAACCACTGACCTCTGCGATACTAGTGCAGCGCTCTTGGATGTGTGATTTTGGGTGTCCTGAGGTCTTTCGCACTATATCTTGTGATTCAACATTTTTCTTGGTTTTAAATGTTTTAAACCAGTTTGATAGTAAAATTATGATGATGGATATTAGATAAAGAAAACTAGAAAACAAATTAAGGCAAAATTTTTTAAACCAATGTGCCATAGGACCGATATATTCAACAATGCTCAATGTGAAGAACATATTTTTTCTTCTTTGTCAGGAGGCTCCTTGGATCTTTCAGTTATCTGTCAACTGTGTTTCTTCCTGGATTTCTAGCATCTCTAAATGCCATTCTAGTTGAGAAAAAAAGCAGAAGAGGCACCCTTGCATTATACATGACAAATTTGGCAAGTATTCCCAATTAATGGAGAGATTTTTTAGAATTTTCTATAAATGTCCATTTGAATTTAATGGTTGTGTCTTAATTTCAAGCTTCTCTGAGAACTCTTGACTTTTGGGATTTATTTTAATCAGAGCTAACCTCCAAAAGCTATCCCAAGGCATTTTAGTATTATAAAATGTTTAAATCCAACATATCTTTTGTCATAAATATTAGAAGAATAAAACTACGACGTTTTGAAGTCATCTTGACTCCATTACCAAGTAGGGGTGTTAGTTGTAGTTTCGAGATTAAATTCAAACAAAGGTGATAGATTACATTAGAATAATAAGTGTTTCTGCAAATATCTTCTGTCTATTGGTTTCCTCTTTCCCCTCTCACTGTTGGGGTTGGAAAGGGTGAATGATAAAGAAAATTATAGATGGAGAGAGTTTTTTAGTTGAATCATTTCATAACCAACTTTGTGAATCAGTTGAGGAATATGGCAGTAAATTTCAATCTATGTACTAAATGTTAGGGTGTTGAAACAACTTACAACATGCTAAAGGAGAGAGGTCTTATTCATGCTGTTCCTAAAGGAGAGGTACGCTTTAAGCAATGTATTTAATATTTATGCACAGCAAGCGAAGCAAATATTGTTTAACAAACCCTGAGACAAAGTGGAGGGTAGTATTCAACAATGTTCACTGAGCCTGAGGCAAACTGGAAGAGTGAACTGCAAAAGACATCTTTTGGGATTTGTTTATTTATTTATTTTCGTTTTTAGGGTGAAAATTCTGTTTGATCAGTGGAGAGTTGGTCTATTAGACTGATTCCCTTAGCTGCTACAGCTTATCCCAGTTTCTGTAGCCATGTGGATTAGGAGTACTGCTGTTGTGATACCCCAAAAAAATCAGTTTTTATGATTGTTTTCTATAAGATGCTTGCAGTGAAAATTGGCTGAGTAGTACATACTAAAGGAAAAAGGCTCATTTTTGAAAATGACTAACTTTTCCACTGCATGTTACCCGCTCGCTTGTTTCCTCTCCCCCCCCCCCATAGTATTTCCTTAACTTTCCTTGATACTTTACTGGTAAACTATTTTACTCTTGGGTTACTGGTACCTGAAAGGGTTACTGGTACCAAGAAGGTTACCGGAAAGTGTCTTACCCAAGAACCCAAAACAATGATGCAGCCAGGGTTTAAACCCTTCATATTGATCCTTAGTGATCCTTAGTCCCAGGGAAAAAAAACCCTCTTAGAGTGTGCGCAAGTGTTTATTTTTTTAAAAAAAGTTGAATTCAGAGTTTCAAAAAATAAATCAGTTGTTATCTGATTTTTTGCAAGATGCTTGCAGTGAAAGTTCACTGAGTGATATGCTCTAAAGGAAAAGGGTCCATTTCCTAAACTGACTAACTTTTCCTCTTGTAAGCTGATGTTGTCAGTCACAATTACCCAATATTGTTTTACCCTTTACACCGTAGCATTATTATGCATATTTTCCATAGTGTTTTCTTTGCATTAATTACCTATAGAACTGACAAGGACAATTTGTTTGATAATCAGGAGCATTTTAAATTGGTGATCATTCTCTTTCTTCTCATGACCATTGTATGTGATTCAGGGTTGACATTGTAAGGAGAAATTAGATGTCAGTCACTCTTAGAAGTTAAAGGATTAAGGTCGTCATCTTCATCAATCATGTATGAGAGTCTCATTGTGACCAGCCTAATATATTAATTATAATAGTAATACTAATAATAATAATAATAATAATGGAAACTTTATTGGTTTTAAATGTACAATTGTAAATCTCACTGGGTGTAGGCAATTTTCAAATGCTGCTTGAGATTGACTTATTCAACACACACACAAAAATCAAAATTGCAGAATAATAATAATAATAATGTTTATTCAAACCTTTTGCAGAGAATGCTGAATTACAGGTTTATAATTTATATTAACAAGAAATATGGGAGAAAAAAGGAGAAAAACTGTACAAAATGCATTAAGCTACATACAAGGAAAAACAGCATCTACATAATAATAATAATAATACTAAAATGATAATAATGTTTATTGTAGAAAAACAAGTATAATTAAGTTGGCAGGTACTTGACTGTCACAAAGTTCTTAAAGCGATCGGTGGACTTTTTGGAGTGATACTGAGTACAATTTGCTCTTAAATTGTAGCAGTCTGAAGATTTAAGAACATCGGCATACATTACAGTATAAAGGGGGGTTGTCATTATGAATAGGACTTATAAAGGTTTGACAGGCATCACTATGGCATGCATCAAGGTTTTCAATACCGGCTAGCATCAGGGTATCTGAGTACAAATGACCTGGCCAAATAATGGCGAGAGCACACCTCTGCACTGACTCTTGGGTCTTAGATAAGTAGGACAGTAAATTGGCAAATGTAGTAGAGGAGTACTCAAGTATGGAACGTATTAGGCAGCAATAGATGTAGACAATATTTTCCACTGGGACAGAACTTCTCCTGAGCTGACTTAAAGCAAACAACCGTCTGTTAGCCTTAGACTCTTCAAAGCAAACAACGGTCTGTTAGCCCTAGACTCTTCTGGCAGCTTTACTTCTGAAGAGCAAACATAAGTGGAAGAGTAGAAATTTTGACACTAAATGATTATTTAACTATGTCAATGTTTACAGAGGTTTTTCTTTTTTCACTAGATTCTGTTGTTCAGTATAGCAACAGCCATTATGATGTATCTTTATAGGTAAGTAGTGCATTAGTTAAAAAACTTTCTTTCAAATATTCCTTCAACCTAACATCAAGTAGCAGATGTGTCTATCACCTGCCTTTAGGCCTTGTTAACTTGCTAATTTGCTTTACACATAGCTGTAATAGCTAGTTGAGCCTCTTCATGTGCCTATGCATATAAGGTCTAGGTTAGAGAATGTGATCGATTTTCAATGGTTTCCAGTCAGTCAAGCTGCTGATATGTCTAGCTTTTGTCTCTCATTTCCCTCTCTACAGTTCTCCTCTGAGTTTTTCCAAACATAACTCTTTATGTAGTCATGATCCCTCTAAAGTACAATTTAAGAAAAGAATAAATTATTTGAGAAGTGAAAGCAATCATGCATGCACAGATGAATTCCATACCAGATTTTGGAAACTGTGCAATACATAAATCATCTAAAATCGTAGGTCACAAGTAATTTTAAATGCGAGACATTACATGGTTATACAATTGATTCTATAGAAAATTGAATTTTTCCAAGTCACTTACAAATCATCTCCCAAATTAAACTACAGGTATTAATTAATGGATTGATTCGTGCTTTCAATGTGAAGCATTACCAAGGTGGGAAGGTTACTGATGTATAGCGACCCATTTATTTCTGGACTAGTTGATAAAGGAAACAGTCAAACTGCAAAACAAATAAATAAAGGCTGATAGTTTTGAAAGAAACTGTTTGGAGCTGCGTCGGTGGGAGTAACGAAATAATTTGGATATATCAACAAAGTTGAAATGGTAAATTGGCCACCTTAGCGATTACAAAAGCTGACGTTTCGAGTGTTAGCCCTTCGTCATTTGCTCCAACAAAGGGCTAACGCACAAAACGTCAGCTTTTGTAATCGTTACAGTGTCCAATTTACTATTTCAACTTTGTTGATATATCCAGATTATTGCAAAACAAATAGATTGATTGTTCTAAATATGAAATGACATTTGAGAGTTGAAGTTGTAACGAAAATGTTACCTACAATTGGTAGGGCAATCCATACATCTCTATGTGTTCCTTCGACGTCTTCAGTTGACCGTTATACAAGTATTGAATTTGTCGCATGTTGTTTAAATAAAAGGGGGGTAACTGGTCCCCAGATTCCCTGGGACAACATTCTGGTGCCAAAAGTGGAGTAATTACACTAGGGGTTATTTAGATGAAGTACACACCAAAAACTATTACTACACTAAGTGCAAATCATGGATATTTATAATTTTCTCTTTCAATTAGGAGGAAGGGGGGTCTTACAGATGGTGTTTTGAATTCTTTAGTAAGGTATGTGACAAAATATTTCAGAGGTAAATCTCATCATCTTATTCCTTCCATGTTCAAGATCTCATTGGAAATTCTCCTCACTACATGCCATACAATCTTATAATGTTACTTTGGAGAATTTAGTATTGGATCAACTAATAATGCCCTGGTTGATATTTTTCTTTATTCTCACTACTTGTCTACTTGATATTGTATTGATATTATGTGGAGAATTTCTGTCTGGGTCACTCTGTAATTATATTTTTATGAAAAGAGTTGTCTTAAAAACCTCCTAGAAGGATTAGCACCAGGTGTGTCATGGTGCCCTGATTTATTCTTTGAAGGTTTTTTTTGGGTCCAAATGATCAGAGCCACTGTCAAGAAGTAAACAGTTTGGAAGCAAGTCTTTCAATTAACATTCAACAAAGTCAGATGGAGCAAAAGTGGTTAGTATTTGTGATGACACTTTTATTAAACTTGCAAAAAATATATTAAACAGAGGAAAGATATTAAACAGGCAGGAAACCTTTCTTTAATTTTTTTTAAATGAGAACTACTGGAGTTGAATGGAAACACAATTTCAACGTGTTTGTTGAAGGTCAATATAAACATGCTGTGCAGACAGTTTTAGCCAAGGAAGGACTCTACATTGTATCTTGTATTTCTCTGGTGGCTTATAACCCTTAAAACCAAAGTTCTTTAGTGCCCAAACAATCCTGTCAGATAAACAGGCGGAGAAGAACATATTTAAAGATCATTTCCAGAGTTATTGTAAGACGCTCACACAATGCACCTCAGCTAATTCACCTAAATAGAATGTGTGAATAATTTTGTTCATCCTTATGTTGGTTTGATTTTTTTTTTGTTTAACTGTTACAATGAAAATATTTTGTTGCAGGTTACAACCAACACTAAAGGCCTTTAGTACTGGTTACATTGTGCAACTGGTACCCATGCTTCTTGGACAAATTAAACATGTATTTAAAAGACCAGGTTTGCACAAAACACTTAATCGTTTGTCCAATGCGTTGATGCTGAGAGTTTTATAAATCAAGTTTAGCAGTGTGTTTCATAGAACACAAGGTTTGTTATTAAGTGTTATTTAGTGTTTCTCTCCTTTGTCGTTTTGTCAGGAAAGCTGTTGAGAGTGTTTTACAATGAAGACTGTCTTAGATGTGGTGTATTTCTGGGAAGTTTTGTTGCAATTTTCAAGGTTTGTGAACTAAAAATTCCATTTAACAGTTTTGCTTTAGTTTGGTATTTCAACTGACATATGTTTATTATATCAAGGCCTTCAAGGTTTTATTTAGGACATCCAATAGCCAAGGATTGTGCCATATGGCATGTTCTTGACTATCTATTGAAATGGGTGGGGGGGGGGCACTCCAAAAGAGTTGCATTGGGACCCATTTCAATGTACTCAAGACACACAAGCTACCAAGCAGTCTCCTTTTACAAAAGTATTTAGAGGACAGCCCTGAGGAGTAAACAAACTGGAAGGAAAATTGTGAAACCACACTGCCAACCTTATATTGGGTTTCTCCACTGCCTCTGCAGTTACATGTAGGCCTTCCTGTCCTCTTTTAACTTTAGTAGCCACCATTGAGCCTGCAGTTCACATCAACAACCCCTCTAAAGCTTTGCTTTGACGTCAACCCTCTGTAAATGCTTGTTAAACATTAGCTTTTTGGTCACCTTAACAATTTTTGAGAAATATACGGTTTCCTTTAGTAATAATTACCAGAGTTGATTTGTTCCAGCCTTTAGTTATAATAATTTACATGTTTGTAGTAACTTGCTGTTTTGCTCTAGATTGTTGAGTGGGTATTAGAACTCTTGAGAAATAAAAGAGATGAGGTGAATGGTTTATTAGCAGGTAGGATTGAAATATCTTTAGTAAAATCCGTGTTTTAAAAACTCTCGCTATTGATCATTTATTACAGGAGGTCCGCTTAATGTAAGTTATGCAATAGTTTTACCTCAAATACACTGTAGGACAGATTGAATATTCGAAACATTTCGTATCAGGCCGTTTCAAGTAAATAAAATGATAGCGTTTTAAAATAGAAAAATTGTAACCTTGAATTGTAATTGAATAGAAATTGCACACAAACTTTTCATTGTGTTGTCCGCTTAATACAGATTTCATCTAGCAAAAATGTTTACAGTTGATGATCGCGTCCGATTTCCGATAGAGGTATCCGCTATAGAGAGATTCATTTTAAAATATTTGTGGGAAGAACGTTTGGGGGATTTGGGTTTGTGTGTGCTCAGTGTACGTCTTCATATTACAAATTCGCTGTATGCGTAAATAACTCAATTGTCTTATGCTTTTTTTTGTTTGTTTGTTTTGTTTTTTTATCGTGGCTGATGAAGTCGATGAACCATCAGGTGTATCAATTACCTGCTTATGTTCTTGTTGCAGGTGGAGCAGCTGGTCTGTCCATGATATTTTACAGAAATTCAAGTATAGCGTTGTATCTAGCTTCTAAAATTTCCGAGGTAGTTATTGAGAAATACGTGTACACTGTGTACACTGCTTGCCTGAAAGAAGTAAACCGAACGAAAACTCATTTTCTGTCATGTCTCGTCTAAGGCTCTGAACTTTTGTAAAATAGTCTGCAAAATGATTCTGGTGCTACTTTAGTTACAGTCCACCTTTTATGCGAGCCTACACCACCTCTGGGATCAGAAAAGAAAGTGTAAAAGAATGGTGTCTACCTTGTCATTGACAGTTGAATTTGATTTGTCGTTACGAGGAAGGGACCATTATCCAGTGTCTGCTTGCGGATGCGATGTGACCCCACCCTTTTTCTTTCTTATTGGAATATTTGTGCACTTAGAGTAACTATCATGTCTCCAAGTAATTTCTACCGAATTTTATTTACTTGTTTTGCTTTTGTTCCTGCTTTTCAGTCGATGTCTCATCATGTCTTTATGAAGTGAACGAAAAAGTTGATTTGAATATTGAAAATTTGTCTTACAGGTTTTGTACAAGCATGGTATTTCAGCTGGGATTCTTCCTTCCATTCCTTATGCAGAGATCTTAGCGTATTCTTTCTCAACTGCACTCCTCTTTCACGCGGTAAGAAAACCGTATTTTCGTACTTTAAACAGATTTTTTCGTAAAGTAGTATCTTGCTCTGCACAGAGTTGGAGCCTATTTCGATTTCCGTTTGTAGTAAGAAGGAATCGACTTACTTTATACATCATTAGTAAAAAACAGTAAAATGCCTTGTCTAAATCAGCCTATGACCCGATATCTTGCAGTACACCCAGCCAGACTCGTCGACACCCGTTCAGTCTGGTACCAATTTTAGGGGACAGTTGGTCTTCCTGTGCTCTTGAGCTCCAAAAGTGGCACTTGCCATCCTCCACCCCCCTCCCTTCGTTTCAAAGTTTTATCATTCTAATGTTTGTTTTTGATGTTATCGTAGTGTACGTGGGAAGTTCACAGTGTGCGGCCATCCTACTGGCGGTATCTGAATGTTGTGACGGCCAAGAGGTTGGCGCAAACTCACTCTTCCATTATGTATCATGCAACTTTACAGCGAAAGTAAAATGGCTGTGATGCAATTTGTGGCTGTGACATATCCCAAATTAAAATTCCATCCAATTCTTATGTACAAAGAAAAAAAAAACTTTGATTTTTTAGACAAGAGTGCAAAAAGTATACCGACAGTTGACAATTCTTCAAAAGAGTTTTCCAGTCTGCTCAGTAAATATTTAATTCTGAGAGTAACAGTCGATAATGTGGTAACGGTGTGTTCATCCGGGTTTGGGCTGTCTTGAAAACACTGTTGCTGTTGTGGGTGACAGTGAGGGTGGCGCTTTGCAGGGCTATCTTAACCTCAGACGATCAAACCTGTGTCAGGCTCTCAGTCAGAGGAGACAAGCAAGAGGGCGACCAAAAGCAAAGATGGATGCTAGAGAAACTGCTTTTCCCATTCATTCTTTATCCCATTCATTCTTTATCCTTTCATTCTTTATTCCATCCAGTTTTTATCCTTGCATTCTTTATTCCATTTATTCTTTATCCTTGCATTCTTTATCCCATTCATTCTTTATCCTTGCATTCTTTAATCCTTTCATTCTTTATCCTTGCATTCTTTATTCTATTCATTCTTTATCTTTGCATTCTTTATTCCATTCATCCTTTCTCCTTGCTTGAACCTCCTCTCTCCGTTTTTTGCGTGTCGCTCATTTCCACTTGCTGAGAACAGGCTACAGACGATTACAGTATCGCACCATGGGTTTTAGCTTGTATTGAGTATGGACTTCCTCGCAAAAATGAAATGTTTAATATTGTTTTGTGTTTTATTTCCTCTTGTTAAAGAGTGTTGATGCTCGAACCATTTCATGGTGTCTGATAAAAATATGTAGAGTTATTTAGGATAATTGTACCGTAGTAAATAACCTTTTAAGGAAGGTTAAAATATATTTTTAGCTGTTGATGACTAGAATTAACGATGAGATAGGAGAAGTTGGAATTAACAACAAAATTAACAACAAACAAAACTGTGGAACTGAATACAGAAAACACTTGCTTGCTAAAACCTTATCTCTGGACAACTCGCGGGCTCAAAGTTGCATTTCAAATGGAATAGAGAAGCTCGATGAACCTGACTAAATTGTGTATGGTTAAGTGCTCTTCATCACTATATATATTTAAATTTTTTTTAACTTGAAGGAAACCACAAAATACAAACATAGAGAGATGAAAAATTGCTAAATTGGCAATAGTCCACCTAGAAGGAAAGAGAATGGTAACGAATGGAGAAGATACCCAGGCACTTCTATTTGGCGGGTTTCTAAACATTTTTCACGTTCTTATTTGAGACGGCAACATGCAGTTGGGTTCAAAGCATTATTGAAAGCTTCTGGAAAAGTCATTCCATTTGTTTAATTAAAAAGGAACAGGAGAAAACCCCGATTGGTTTCTCCCCATCAATAAGCACTAAGAAAATATACAAAAATAAGCGATAAAAATTGAGAATAATCAGTGCAATTTCTCGCCCGGCCTCAGATACAGGAATTTCCAAAAACATTACTAGTTGACTTTGAACATGCAGCTTCTTAAAAGTAAGTTTTTGCTGTATTCTTTTCTTTCTAGATTTTTGTACATGTAATTTTAACAGCGATCGTCTTTAAAGACATTAGGAAATTCGAATTATTTCTCAGTGTAGATCAGCTTTTAAAGAACTGTATTTATTATTTACATGCAGGTTTTGTGAATTAAACAGAGCGAAAGTGGATGAGATATTTGGTACAGAAAGCAGTAGGTTATTTCCGAAGGATGATTTGTACAAGTCTTTAACGAGAATGTAGTGATAATTAGTTGGGAAAATAAGGAATTGAATGCTTAATTAACAATTGGCCTGTTTGTTAATAGATATTGTTAACATGAAATATTTAAATATTCCAACATATAGCATTTAAAAGTAAGAGTGTAACAATATTTCTTTTGGTCTATTTTGAAAGCATATAATTGTGGATAAATTCAATATAACTTGTAACCAATTAGAAAGGCTTTTTTCAACCACGTAAAGCTGACACGTGGTTTGCAAGATGGCGCTGGCCAGAATGGAATTTTAAAATTGTGCAATCCGATTGGTCAATTCAGTAATCTAGTGGGTGACATGCAGCTTACTGATTGGTTAATTGCTCTGTCCATCTTAGGTTCCTATACAGGTTTTTTTCATAGGCTGCACTTTAGGCACGAAAATATTTTTCTTTGGTATAATTTTTATATGAAAAATTCTTATATTGAGATAGAAGAAAAGAGGGTAAGAAAAAATAAAAGACACTTATTCAAATTGTAGTTTAGACAATTTCCAATGAAATGCATCTTTTTTTTCCGCTACTCTTGTAGCTGCGTGTGTTACTGCTAACAGTTTATGTTATACTTTATAACATTACCTGTCTTTTGTCAAGACAAGAACTCAAGATGCTTAAGTATTCTAGGCAACCAAAAGTTCCAAGTCCTCCAATCATTTCATATCAGACATTAATTAACCAAGATAAAAATCACACAAATTCTTTAATTCTGAACACTTCTCGTTCGTTGTAAATGTTAGTTTCAGAGGTTGTAGTAAACCAAGTAAAGCATCATCAGTCAAAAGCCACAGGTACTCTTTGATAATATTTAATTTCGTTTCATTTTCGTGAGATTTGTTGATTTATTCATCAATCGATTGACTATGAGATTTGTTGATTTATTCATCAATAGATTGACTACCTATTTATTGTTCGACTGATTGATTGGTTGATTGATCAAATGATTGATTGACGGATCAGTTTGATAGACTGGTCGTTTGTTTGTTTGATTTATTGATAATCGACTATTTATACTCAACTTGAAGTAGGTAAGCTTCTTTCGCAATTGGTAAAAGCTTGGTGAATTGTCGGCTAGGCCTTAAAACGATGATCAGCGCGAATTTTCACTATGAAAACAACTCTGAAGTACAACTTCGAATGCAGAGCAGGGCCCTTGTTTCCACCCTAGCAAATTTCAATTAAAAAATACGACAACGAAAAGTTTAGAGTAAGGGTTGACTAGCTTAATTATTTCGCAGTTTTCGATAACTTGGTCGTTTTGCTTATGGTCCTTGACCATACATATGAAAAAGGACGTTATAAAATTCTTTCGGGGGAATGGAGAGGTGTCTTTTGTTTTGTTTTCTGTGCTCATGTCACTTTGCTGAACATACTTCAGTCAAACCCGTTAGCGTGAATACAAAAAATAAAATCTTGATTGGAGAGATATTGAATAGGTGGGTTCACTTTTATCCAAAAATTCATGACAAATGTTTTAGCCGTAAATCAATCCTTTTCAAACTTTACATACTTTTTTGTCTATTTCAGTTAAGATTAGTTTGCGGGTATTCGTAAATGGAATTTTTCACTGAGGGAAACGCTATCTACGGGTGATCTGTATGAGGGAATTGTGGGCTCAGTTAAATCTCAACTTTTGGTGACTAAAAAAAAGAATTTTTGGCCGAAACGCCCAGGATTAATTCAAAGTATTTCCTGATTTGACAGGATTTGGTTCTTGAGGCCGGTATTTTGGTCGAAAACGCGATGCAGAGGAGTGAACAAATTTGAGCGCTTTAATCGATGCAACTGATACTGACAAAAATAGAATTATTCTCAAATTGCGTGGAAAAAAAAAACCGTTTGACCACAACTAAGTAAGAAAGACAAATATGAAATATTTGTTATTTTAAAACATGCGCAACATAAAGTGCTACGCCTCTTTCGATTTACTTCATAATGCGAATATTTATTCTTCTTCATCTACAGCAATTCTACAACGAAAACACTAAGAGTTTTTCTTATTGCATTCATTAAGGTATAAATGTAAATTTTTTAGCAAGTTTGGAAAGAGAGGCCGGAAGACTTGAAAAAAACATGGGTAGTTTCTTAAGATTTGTCTCCTACGCCTGCTTCCTTTCTGTTGCTCTCTCACTCTTTCTTTTCCGTTCCTTAATTTACTTTTGTGTTTATCTCGATTGATATCAATTCCTTACTGTCTTAAGTCCTTTCAGTTTTTTTTTTTTTTTTTTCTTTTTTAAAAAGATACCGTGAAAGAATCGGACGTTGTTTGGGTTATTTGAGAACTAATTAGGAAAAAGTATATTCATCCTAATCTCAAACTTAGAAATCTTGAGATATTTTTAACCTTTGGTATCACAACATTAACTCCTCAAGTCTCTAGTAAAGGGTTCGCTCAATGTCAGTTTTTAGAACTGGCTTTAAAAACAGTTCGTGACAAACTGAAGGCGCCTATCGACAACGGACGACGCTGCCACCCCTCTATCTCTCTTCATCCGGTAAACAACATTGAAACCGCCGAACTTCAAAGTTGTGCGTAGGTCTAATGTCAGTTGGATAAATATCAAAACGACTCTGCGACCACTTTACGTCTGCTAAGACAGGAAAAACAAACGAAATGGAATTTTAGTCTCAAAACACTAGTAAGAACGGGAAATTTTTTCTTCAGGGTCATGCGGTGGAAATTGAAGACGCTCGGCGATTCACAGCTGCAAGCACTTTCATCAAAATCTCATCAAAGATTAAAATTTACTTAAGTGCTGATGGTGAAAATGATTTTTTCCTTAACAGGAATCTCCTAACTGCAAGGTATCCAAACTGTGACAAAGTGATAGAACCACGCGATATTTTGAGCAGATGAATCCAGAATTTCTGATATGACAACAATGAATTTTCAACAGCTTTGGAATTCCGAATTGCCTGGGGTTAGTGGCCATCCCAATCTTGTATATAGATTCTCTTCTTGAGCATTTTCAGTTTCCCACACTAAGAAAAGCGACCGAATTTCAATTGTGGGCCACCATGATCAGATCTGTCTGTGCAAAGTCATGAAATTTCCCCGTTTTTGATTGTGTCGTCAGTTTACGGCATCGATCGATATAGGCTTTTAGACTGAGAAGTGTATTTTCAATTCTTTCGTGTTCTTAATTGCCCGTAACGGATATGCTCTCAGGCAATCGGTATCCTCTCATATTCTTTAGCATGGTTGCTTTTGCATGTTTAAGATTCGTTTTTAAGATAGTTAAACGCCACTTCATTTCCTAATTGACATGGTCTTTATACACAAAGGATTAGGAAAGTATGGCGCCAGTATTTCCAAACTAAATTGCGCCTTAGGACACTTTTAGTGAAGATTGTGGGTTTTGCTTTGTGTTCCAGCTATTGTTCAATAAAAACAACTTTAAATGATCTGAAGATAAACAAAATGGATTTCAAATTGCACTTAATTCCTTCGAAGCAATTCATTTATTTTTCAGATGGAGCGGATGTTCCGGAAAAAATCAAAATAAACTTCGTCGATTATCTGAAATAATACAAATTCCTGCTAAAAACGTTTTGAGGATAATCGCGTTTTCTATTTTAAGAAATCTCTTGTAAACATGTTTGACCCGATATGTTATGCATCTTTTTCGTATGAAATTTGTTGCCTTGACTATTTCATTTTCTTCTACTTTGGCCTATTTCCTGCTTAGTTCAAGCTGCTTTAGATTAAGGATACAGTTGATCACGTATTTAATTCCCTCGTGGTCGCCTCGATTTGTATGTGGTTTCCTTAAAGCAAGTCCTATACGTGCAATTATTTACCTATCATGCAATAAAAGTCGTAACGCGATATACGAAAAGTGATAGCTGAAGGAGAGCTTTATTCCGCTCTTTCTATCTTTGCTCAGAGCGTCATCGTGAAATTTCCTGCTTCGACGCAGACAAAAGAGTCGTGAAACATAATCTAAAGTCACCTTGTAAACAATTGATAGTTTCAAGACCTGTCTCCTTAAGCCAGCTTGTAATCCCTGTTTTAATTGTTCGCGTCCAAAAAGCATTTACACCGTATGACAACAATCTAAGTTCCGTTTTGATTTCCTACCAAAGATATGGTAGTTCTACATCTCTTTTATTCCGAGGTCGTGAATTTGCCAAGAACAACATCTTCAAAATAAGCAAGGCCTGGCGTTTGCACCGGAAGCCAAAAATGTACACGAGGGACATTCATGAGCAATTCACTTTAAAACCGGAGACATCTATAACACCCATAACAAGATTTATAATGCAATGTTCTGTGTTTAGAGCTACAGGGCTTGGCAAACGTCTTCCGTGGACTAACCCAGGAACGAGCTGTCTTTAGTGATGTGTTTGCGTTAGTTTTTGAAAATGATTAATTGGATTGGATCAAAGAGGCCGTCCTTTCTGAAATTCCACAGTTGTAACTCCTCTTATCATGGTTGTACTAGGAAAAACTACTATGCGGTTAATTTAAATTTATTCAAAAGGTTTTGATTCCGTGGTTTCGATTCGGCCACATGAAGAATCATTCATAATCATTAAAGAAAAAACATCTTAATGGTCATGTTTGCTTCTTGGTGACAGTTTCATGAAAAAAGCTTTCCGATTCAGCAACCTCTAGATATTAACTGCCACAGAAATTGAAATACAGGAGTCGTTTCATTTACAGTGATTTTTGAAATCTGGATAGCGACGTTGGCCTGGCGTTATTAATTTCTATCCCAACGGGATTAAGCAAAAACTCAGACGTACTGAAAACTTCAAGCTGTGCATGACAAATGTGGGTGAATTAAATTGAATAGCACGATGAATTTTAAATGTCAGATATAAATAGTGTTTAATAATTGAAAATAAAAGCGTGGTGATTTACATTTCCATAATGCAAGCTCGTCTGTAGGCGACATTTTAGTTATGACTGAAAATTCTCGATACATTTAACACTAAACCGCTCTCATACAGATGATTGCGTTTTTACATGAGAATCTGTTGTGAATTAAGCGATTTCTTCTGTTGACAAGCTAGCAAAAATATGAATTGCAAATACGCTCCTTTCTGTAATTACACTTGGCCCCTCCTGAGCGAAAAATCCACATGGCAAAAGTTAACAACTAACAACACCGCAGCGCAGCGTGAATTCGGGCATAACACAGCGTTTAGATCATAGTAACTATGTTTAGATGTACTGTTATTCCAACCGTTTAGGAATGTATTGTGCAGTTAAGAAGTTGTAAATGTTCTCGCCTCATTTAGTTAAGAAACTCTTAACACTGTTATCACTTAAAACGAAATAATTTACCAACGATTCAATCGAAGTAATCTGTCTCTACCTATATGTCAACGGCAAAAGCGGTATGAAACGCATCTGAAGTTTCCTTTTTCTGACTCCATGTGAACTTGCGCGAATTTCGTGTGTATCTGTTTCCTCTGTTTTGATATTCAACAAACCATTTCATCAAAAAGATTTCTTTTCTCAAGAGGAAGTAATTAAATCTATAAAACGTGACACGCTTTCAAGTTTTGTTTCAAGTTGATATGGCCTCTCCACATAATATCCAACGCTGTTTCATTTTTACCTTTGCGCTGTTTCATAACACTGTCGGTAAAACAGCGTTATTGCTCCTTCCTCGAAGGCGCGCCGAATATCAGAGTTCCTAATGGCATAAATCAGTCATCTGAGACGTGCGAAGGTGTCAAGTATAAAACATTCATCTGTTTTCTTTAGGAAAAGAAAACTTTCATCCGCGGTAAGGTTTCTGTTTTTACCGCACGATCAGACGAAACGTAA